TTTTGCATCAATATTTATGTAAGTAAGTCAATAAGTACAAGAGAAATTGAATACTGTGTCCACCTTTTTTTTTATAAAACGCCACAAAGATGACATATATCAATAATATATATATAATATAGGAAACAAAATAAGGCTGAAAATGCACTATATATTTATATTCAATCAGAATAATCACATTTTGTCGATTAAGACATCAAATTGGTCTAAAATGTTCTCCACAATTTCCTATCGGTTTCACGGTTTCACAGATATTCATTGATTAATTCTCCTCATTTTTGATTTTAATTCACGAACAAGTCTAAATCCTGATTATATCACAAATGATTCTATAGATTTAAATTTAAATGATTTTTGTGAGGGAAATATTACCGGGAAATATTACCGCAAAATTATCTTATAGATGAAGTCCTGAAAAGAAATAATCAAGACAAAAATTTGAATAACCATGGTAAGAATTTATTAGATATGTGTGTGTCTTCTAGATTCAGAATACTAAATGGCAGGTATTTACATGTAGGTGACTCATTAGGATTTTTTACTTGTTTGACTCAAAATGCTTAAGTAGTATTGATTATGCCAAAATAAGTGAAGTCTTCTGTCCTCAGTTTTTTATTTTATTACTCAAGATTTCAACTATTTGTCCGACCATATTCAAATTAAAGTGATATCAAAATGCAATTTCAAACAAGAAAATTTTAAACACTCACCAATTTTTACTGGCTGGAATGCAACCAAAGGCTACAAGTGGTCAAATGCGTCTCTCATACAATTCTGAGACAGATAAACCTATAACAATAAAGGAAATTAAACTTATATTGAATATATTAATTAAAGTGAAAACTAGTGGACCAGATGTCATTGCAAATGAAATATTTAAACACATCAGTCTTGTTGCATTGACTTCTATTTCAAAATTATTTAACTTGATATTGAAAACTGGAATTTATCCAGCACAGTGGAATACATCTTATTTAACTCTTCTTCATAAATCGGGGAGTAAGTCTATCCCATCTAATTATAGAGGAATATCACTTGTGAATTGTATTTCAAAAATATTTAGTGCTGTCCTAAATGAGAGGCTTATATCGTTAGTGAAAGATATATATTCAAACACTCGGTTTGGATTCAGAAAAAAATCACAGAACCTCAGACAGTTTATTTAGTTTGAAAACTATCATTAATAAATATATACATCAGAATAAAAGAAAACTTTTTCTATGCTTTATAGATTTACAAAAAGCATTTGATTCTGTATGGAGAATTGGATTGCTTTTTAAATTGGCGAAAATTCGAGTTGGGAAAAATTTTATTTAATGTAATAGAAAATCAATTTTCTAGAACTGAAATAGTTCTGAAACTGAATAATCTTTGTTGAAACATTCAGGGGAGTAAAACAGGGGGAATCTATCAGTCCCACTCTTTTCAATATATTTTTATTAATGATTTAGTGCAAGTCACTACAAATGAAGACTCCAAGCCACCTGAATTAGTTGATTCAAACGTTGGACCCCTTTCATTTGCTGATGATTTAATTATACTCTCAGAGAGTAAAGAATGTCTTCAAAACAGTGTAAATAACCTGAGTGTTTTTTGTGATAACTGGAAGCTCACTCTTAATATAAAAAAAAAAACAACAAAAGTATGGTTATTCAACATTACAGTAATAGTAATGTGGAATCATTTATTAATTATAAAAATATTTTTTTACAAAATGTTACTGAATACAAGTTTTTAGGCTTGCTACTTAAAAGTAATGGTAACCTGAATCATAGTTTAGAGGATCTTGTTAGAAAGGCCAAACAAGTTTTGTTTTCTATAAAAGCTAAATCTTCTTCCTTGGGCAATCTTCCTATACATGTGTCAAATTATAACTCAGAAATTTCATTTACGGATAGTTATTTGACCTATCATAGGGCTAAAATTCGGGCCGAAAAAAGTGGGCAAAGTTTGGATACATTCTATTTTATAGACAAAAAAATCATTTAACTTTTGTAAATTTATATTTATATTTCGGTTGCCGTTTGCTTTTAATTACTTTATGCGAATTAAATAATTTCAACATCCTTCGACCGCTTTGTAAAAATAGTAGATTATTATGTATTGCATCGAACGCGTCGTTATTTCTGGGATTGTGAGTTGAAATGTACGGTGAAACGTTTTTTTCTCAATGTGATTTAGTTCCCGTAAGCTAAAAGATTTTGCTCTTGTTATACCTTCATTATTCTCTTCGGTTATGTTTGGTCTAATGGCATGTATCTTAATTCATTGAATCTTGTATCCCTTAATTCGGGATTTAAAATGATTGTACATAAATTATTATGCGTTTAGCTATGTTATATGTATATTTACTCTCGTATATTTAGGATGACATAATGTAAAAAGTAGATATTGTTTGGAATCAGTTGGTTTAAAGAAAATATCGGTTTCTATGTTTGTTCCGTTCTTTATGACAAGAATGTCTTAAAATGGTAATTTGTTACTATTGTATTCCGTAGTAACTTGGATGTTCTCGTTTATTTCATTGAGACAATCTTTGAATTTCGGCATGATTTACATGTCAGCAGGTTAAGAACTTTGAGTTTTCTTTGAGTACCTGCGAGCATTTTTATATGGTATAATGTTGTGTATTAGCTCCACATTGTCAAAAAGGGCCATAATGAACTTTTACCATCACCTTTTTTGAAACACATTCCCAGAACAGTACTGATAGTTGCTGGTCCTGCATGTGAAACGCACAGACTGAATGACTTTTTAAATATTCTTCTTATACCTTTTTTGAAACACATTCCAAGTTTCATAAGAGACGACTTAGATATGTTGAACCATCTCCCCGTAATCAGGCCGACCTACACTCTTATATCGTATTTCACATAAGAATTGATACAGCAATGTCATAAACAGTGCAGGAATGAACATTCTTGTGTAATGACAAGAACAAGCTGTACACAATTTCAAAGCAGAAAAACGAAACATTTTTGTATTGTTTCAAACTAGCAAATTGAAGTTTAACTAAGATCTAATGATAAACAGTATAATTTTTATAATGTATATCAATAAGTCTATAAAGTTGCAAAAAAATAAGCAGTGTTTTCCATTCGGCATTTTAGCCGGGTGTGCCGACCACCTTGTTTTGAAAGCTTACCACCTTTCCATTTTAGGAGGTGGTCGGCTTTTTTTTCAAATTCCGAATTTTTTTCGGTTCCGCACTGTAAAAATTTAAATACTAATCGCGCCTCGCTGATTTGTTTTCATTGACAAAAATGGCGGATCGTCAAATTTCAATGTTTTCTATTATTATTCGGGGGAAGAGAAAGGCAGATGACGATGGTGACAAGGAAAACTTTAGGCAAAATAAGTCAACTAAAACGGATAATCGTATTGAAATTGTTAAAATTGAAAAAAAAGTATCAAAACAACGGAAAAGGCACGCGAGAGATCGCGAAGGTAAACAGGTTGGGAACAATCCCCTTATGAGGGATATTCCTTAAATGAGTGACAAGAGGTCGTCTTATTGTTGAAGAAAAGAAAAAAGAAAAACTAAGATTGTTTAACTTAAAAGGGGGAAAACTCGTTATAAAATCGAATCAAATCAAATAGTTTATTATTCCAATCAGGGTCCCATAGGGGGCATTTACAATTAACAATAATTTATGATAGTATAACTATAAGCAACAAACATGAGACATTGTACAGTTATGTAATATTTGGAACAACTTATCTAAAAGAATATCCCTTTTTTTTAATGATAAAGTAGATATAAGTCCAGGACTTTTACAAAATTCTTGGACATGTTTTGACCATATAATACCAAATAGATGTATAGTTCTTTGGAAAAAGTTTCTGTAAATGAAATAAATATGTGCTCATTTGTATCTCTTAAAAAATTTCCTTCATAAAAGAAATAGTCATTACATTAAGAGGTTGTTCCCAAGCTGAGAAATATGAACAGGACTTTAAATGGATAATCGTCACAGAAGAAGGATGTTACTGTTCTGTGTACCAAAAATACAGCACTAAAGCAAGGAATAGGACAAAAACTTGGCAGGAGGAGCAAGTCCTGCAAAAGCCATCTGCTATTCAATTCCATTTAATGTGAATACAATACTAACCATTCTTTTTGGTGGCAACACCCACAGTAAAAAAAACCCGGTTGGAAAAGTATAAAAAAAATAATACGACCGGTTGCAAGTGATTTTTTCAAAAGACCCACCTTACCTTAGTGAAAAATGGAGAACACTGATAAGGTAGGAAGAACAATTCCTAAAATTTATAAATAGTATAACCATAAAAGCTGGATTCTTCCCGTTTATCATAAAATTTGGTATGAAGTTTATTATGTGAAATTGTAATGTCATGGTCTAAAAAGGGAACAAATACAAATGGGTAACGGTGGTGTTTCGTAAGTCCTTCACGGATTGGTCTTCAAGCTTTCGTTGGGTTTCATAACTGTAATGGAATAATCATGCAATAAAAAGGTCATAATTATTCCCTGTATGTCGGAACATCATTCTTTTGGCGCTATCAGTCATTTCCAAAACAGAAAAAATCTTATCAAGCAAAAAGCGTATTATTGTCGCAATGGTGCATTTTTGTAAGTTTTATTACTGAAAAGGGATTGTAACGACTACATCGGATAAAGTTACATCCAGATTTATCGAAAGGCAAACAATGTCTGGTTAATTGATAACATTGTTGTGTAGTATACCGAGAAGAGAAATCATATTGAGGCAAAATGACCTCCAGTGCACATCAATGAAATAAACACTTTAGTTTCGTGCGTCCGAACTCTTCCAAGAAGTTAAACCGCCACACACATGAGATTTGTCACAATATTTTATAACATGTTCTTTAACGATGGTAAAAGTAAAATTCAGATAAACCGAAATATGTGTAGTTGGATATTTATATGAACTCCATTTTGTTTCCTTATGCTCTGTATGAGATGGATGTAAATTATCTTGCAGTATTAGTAAACTTTCACAAAACTTATGTTTCAGGTAGCAAACTATGGAATTGGTGGATACTTTAATCCTCATCTCGACAATTTAGTAAGATCATGTCTTATTTATCAGTCCTTCGGGTGAAATATATTTCACTCATTGATCGAGTAAAATAAATCACTGTATATGTATGTCGCCACCATTTCACATCTAAATGGGATACTTTGACGCACATTTTAGTATATTATATGTGAAATCATATGTACTTTCATCAAATATATGAACATGCCGTTCTATCACATTATCTATTGTCTATAAGATTTTCATTTGAAGATATATCGTCATCGTTCTTTTTTTTTATTCCAGACACTATCCACCGTTCAACTCTACAACCAAAATTATATTTAAAGCACTAAGGCATAAAAAAATAACAGCCACTAAATGTTGTCTTTAATTGGGACAGGTACAATTAAATGTGGACCGACTAAACAAGTTTTTTTAAATAATCTTTCATTAATTTTCCTACTAATTTCAAAAAGCATGGTACCAAAATTCTTTGGGAAAATCAGCACCAAAGCAAAAAATTGTCAATCTTGTGTATCATTATAGTTTTGAAACCATTGCTGCTATTCTTTCATTAAAAAGGGAAAACAATATAAGAAGGCAATACATGTTTTAATACCACGACAGACAAACAACGTAATGGTAAAAAGAAAAAGACGAAAGGGATAACAGTCCACAAAACACTTCACAAAAAACTAAATTTTGAGCATCTAAAATCCCACTAACTCATGAGCTCAAAGGGTAATCTCTTCGGGTTATATAAAATGTACTCGTCACAGTGCGTATATCAAATAGAAATCTGGTGATTCGGTGCATGCATTCAGTGATGTTATTAAAGGAAAACCCGTCCACTTTTCTTTAAATATGACAGCACCAAATGAGACTTACATGCACTAAGATGAGTTAAGGATCTGCTTCCATTCCAAAATACCTTAGATCATCCCTGGTTTTTGGTGGGGTTTGTGTTGTTCAATCTTTAGTTTGTTTTTTGTCACCTTTTTGTCGTTTTTGTTTTTTGCCATGGCATTGTCAGTTTAATGTCATCGACTTATGAATTTACAGATCCCTTTAGTATATTCAGCCTCTCTTAGAAAAACAATCAACTAGCATGCACAAGATTTATTTGACTTGAATTTCTTCTGCTTGCGTATTTTCACCATTTTTTGTTTATCGTGATCACAAATCTCATAACGAATTTATAAAATACAGAAGTATTTATAAAGGCAACAGTAGTATACCGCTGTTCGAAACTCATAATTCGATAGTGATAAAAACAAATCCGGGTTACAAACTAAAATTTATATTTGTATCACCAAAACCTGTTTATTGCCTCAATTTGATGTCCTTCGACAATATCGTTTGATTATATAGAAAAAGAGTTTTAGAATAATTCAATTTTGCATAAAATAGGTCAAGACAACAATAGCTTACAAATAAACGTGCCAGATTTACAAAGTTTAACGTTGCCAGATTGTCATTTCATGCGGACGTCGCAAGTGCCATTCTTTTCAGACGATTTTTTTTATATATTGATTAAGCAAGTTGTTTTCCTACGGGAACGGCATTCATTTATAAAAGGAGTGACCAGAAAAACATTCTAGAGGATATGCTAGTATTGAAAAAGCGGCGAAAGATACTGAAAGACTAATTTTTAAAATTGTTACTTGACAAATTTCCATCTTATTGGACCAAGGAGAAGAATATAAAATTAACTGATAATGTTTTGAAAATACTTTAGCATTTGTGCAATTAACCTCTTTATAACTGTTGCTAATAAATTCACCCATTTATATTTTCGACTGGTAGTCTTCCCTCTATTATTATACCATAGCCAAAAGGCAAGACCACAAAACGTTCATTTACAAATTGCAAGAATATATTGTAAAGTATTATGCAATCAGTACTTGCCACCTTCAATTTTTGGCTAAATATTTCATTTAACAGTATTTTTCTCTTAAGAACATATTACCAAATACACAAATAAATTTGTGAAAATTTACTCGAAATAAAACTAGAAATGGGCCTCACAAAATTTATTGAAAAAACATAGCTTTATATGAAATACTATAACAAAAATTTGCCTCTTACACTGTACGAAAGTTTTTTTTAACCTAATTTCTTTAAATTGGTATTGAAGGGTCAGCTATAATCGGTTATTAGTCCCAGGTGCTAAAATGTGTGTTCTTTTCAATAAATTGTTATGTAACAATGTTAGATAAAACTAGAGGCTACAGTTTCTCTCTATCTTAGTTATTTAGTTTTTGCCCAAAACACAAAGAGGGTAAACAAAACCGTCACTTAAGGGAAATCACCTCTATCTACTAACTTTTTTGGCAGAATTTGACCTGATTGTAGATCTTGCCTTGCTGATCATTTTTTTGTTATTTAAAGCTTTTATCTATCTTTTATAGTTTTCAAGCTAATAGGCAAAAACGCCAAAATTGGTAAAAAATGTCAATAAAGAACAACGACTTCAATAACCAGTCGACTGAAGAATTCGGCTATTATGACTTATTTGTAGATCTTGTCTTGCTGATCACTTATGCTGTTTAAGGTTTCTATATATCTATTGTACGTTTTATTTTTCTGATAAGGAATCTATTCATAATTTCCGCTATATTGACTCGAAAATCTTGTCTAGCTGATCAGTTTTGCTGTTGAGTTTCTCTCCATCTATTATAGTTTTCAAGATAAACGGCAAAATGGAAAAAAGAAAGGACAATAACACCAAAAGAAATTTTCTGACAGATTTGGCTTACATAGATAATAGGTAGAGCTCAATATTCAGAACATATCTGCCCCTGTCAGATTTTCTCTATCTATAGCGGTTTACATAATAATAGACAAAACTTACATTTTACCCCTATGTTCTATTTTTAGCCATGTCGGCCATCTTGGTTGGCAGGCAGGGTCATCGAACACATTTTAAAACTAGATACCCTAATGATGAGTGTGGCCAAGTTTGGTTAAATTTGGCTCAGTAGTTTCAGAGGAGACGATCTTTGTAAAAGTTAACGGACGACGGACGCAAAGTGATGGGAAAAGGGGGGCGAGTATTGTCAGGAATATTTTATCCCCGCTGCATTTTACTTTGCTGTCTTAAGACAACAATCAGGTGAGCAGTAGTCTTTTTTTATAGTCATGTAAGTGATTTTTTTCTTTTCTTGCATAACAGCGTTAATGGATGATTTCAGTAGTCTTGTTTAAATTTATTTTTACTCGTCTTGACTAGGTATACTATATGAAATTTTGTGTAGATGCTTGCCTATTGTTTTATGACCGCTCTATTTAATATATTTTATTTTATTTTATTGTGTCTTTTGATTGCTGTCTCATATATGTAGGCCTTTACTCGCGATCGGCACTTCTGACAGATTTGGCTTACATAGATAATAGGTAGAGCTCAATATTCAGAACATATCTGCCCCTGTCAGATTTTCTCTATCTATAGCGGTTTACAAAATAATAGACAAAACTTACATTTTACCCCTATGTTCTATTTTTAGCCATGTCGGCCATCTTTGTTGGCAGGCAGGGTCATCGAACACATTTTAAAACTAGATACCCTAATGATGAGTGTGGCCAAGTTTGGTTAAATTTGGCTCAGTAGTTTCAGAGGAGATGATCTTTGTAAAAGTTAACGGACGACGGACGCAAAGTGATGGGAAAAGGGGGGCGAGTATTGTAAGGAATATTTTATCCCCGCTGCATTTTACTTTGCTGTCTTAAGACATCAATCAGGTGAGCAGTAGTCTTTTTTTATAGTCATGTAAGTGATTTTTTTCTGTTCTTGCATAACAGCGTTAATGGATGATTTCAGTAGTCTTGCTTAAATTTATTTTTACTCGTCTTGACTAGGTATACTATATGAAATTTTGTGAAGATGCTTGCCTATTGTTTTATGGCCGCTCTATGTAATGTATTTTATTTTATTTTATTGTGTCTTTTCATTGCTGTCTCATATATGTAGGCCTTAACTCGCGATCGGCACTTCTTTTTTTTCAACTTGGAGATAGGGTATTGAAAGTCAAGAGTTTCCTTATATAGAAAATCAAATTCAAAAACATAACAAATGCTTAACAGTCTAAAACAAAGTAATGTCCATAGTTATGATTATTTATATGATAATTTTAGTATCACTACCCCTCGTATTCTTTCCCTAACACAAACCGTACATTATTATTTAATATATTACATCATCAACCGAAGCAAAAAGTTAAAACAGTTCCAGATTTTAGGGGCCGAAATAATTCCTGTTGAAATTTTGTAAATAGATCCGTGCCAGTAGAGTGTCTCCTCTTAGATATTTTCTTGTTCTTGTTCTTGTATGTTATCCCTTGCTATTGCTCGGGATAAAACAATCGAATACAAATGTCCAACCCTCGGTTAAATGAAAACAAATCTACGGCTGTTATCATTTATTTATTAATTAAGTCATTTCCCATTTTTCATTAGATAACTGGAAGTTTATTGTCATACTCGTAGACGAGTGTGAATATGCGTCCGACGTATTAAAATTTGCCACTGAACTATATTGCCATTCAAGTAATTAATCGTAAATTAATTTAAGACCTCGGGGTACAATTATTGATAACTTTAGTTAATGCAATAAATATATCTCGTCCATCGACTATGTGAAGACGACGATGAGTGCCCTTCAACAATGGACCATAAATGTTTAATGACAGGAACGTGATTCATCCTAAAATGCTCGCTAAAATTTATGTATAAAATATTTTCCTACAAGGTTTTATTACACAAATCAAACAATCATGGTTTACAAGAAATATGTATGTAAAATATGCAATTATACCTTCCTTCCTTCATGGCAGGACTTCGGCTTGCAATACAAAAGAAGACTCCAAAACATAAAAAAGTAGTATAAAACAGGATCCAAAACGTCATTTCTGGAATTGTGTCTTTCACCGGAGAAGATCGTTAATTTCGCACGCCTTTATGACGTCATTTACCAGATAGAAGGCGTGCCTGTAGCCCTGCTCTATTAAAAGTTTCCAGCACTTTCATAATCGTCATTCTGTAGGGTA